ATTTTCACCAATCAATCAGATGTGAATAAGGAATATGCACTCCCCACGAAAGTTATAAACGGTATTCCGATACCACGTACGTATAAGGAGGCCACAAATGACAAGATTCACGGCCCATCGTGGAAAAGAGCTATACTAGATGAAATCGATGCACTAGTTTCAAATGGAACATGGGAAGAACATATTCTGCCGGACGGGGCAAACACAGTCTCGACAAAATGGGTTTTTACAATCAAATTAAAGAAGGATGGGTCTGTAGAACGCTACAAGGCCCGCTTAGTAGCAAGAGGCTTTAGTCAACAATATGGAGTCGACTACACCGAGACGTTTGCACCTACTGTTAGGATGGACACTTTTCGCCTATTTCTAGCAATGGTGGCTAGATACGACTTGAAGTGCCACCATTACGACATAAAAAACGCCTTCACGGAATCCACATTGCAAGAAGAAATATATCTTAAGCCACCAGAAGGAGTAGAAGTCTCAAAAGGAAAAGTACTTAAAGCCCTTCGCAGCCTTTACGGACTTAAACAAGCCGGTAGAGACTGGAATCTACTCCTGAAAAGCTTCCTCGTATCAATTGGGTTCACACAAAGTCTTGCGGACCCATATCTCTACGTCCATCACAAAAGAAATATTTGGATTCTCGTGTACGTTGATGACATCGCCGCAGCAGCAAATGATGACAGTAAACTTAATTGGTTTTTCAAAGCGCTCTCTCAACGATTTAATGCCAAAAATCTGGGGGAGATTGAGAAGATTCTTGGCATAAGAATTACAAGAGACCAAAAAAATCGCACCATTTACCTTGACCAAGAACAGTACCTGTCCGCAGCTCTTGATCAATTCGGCATAACGCATGCAAAACACATGAGCAAGAAGATCCCTGCAGCAGACTACGAAAACCTTCGCCCAGCAAACGGATCAGATGAACGAATCAACGCAACTGAATATCAGAGAGGAATTGGGAAATTAATGTACGCAATGATATTAACTAGACCTGATATCGCTTTTGTTGTTGGTCGACTATCCCAATTCATGAAAGACCCCGCAGTGCACCACGGAATAGCTCTCAAGAGCCTCATGCGATACCTACGTTCAACAGTCAAACAGAGACTCCGATTCGGACCAGGGGGAGCATATTCACAGCAATTTGCCGTTTACACTGACGCGGATTGGGCGACAGATAAGATGGACCGGAAGAGTATCTCCGGGGGAGTCTGCATGTACTATGGTGGACCCATTTCTTGGTCCTCAAAAAAACAAAACTCTGTTGCAACGTCAAGCGCCGAAGCCGAATATATTTCACAAGCTATGTACGCCAAACAAGGCCAGTGGGCCGCACAGATCCTCCGCGATTTAGGAATGCCCCAAGTTATCAACGTAAACGAAATGACAGTACAAATGTATGGAGATAACCAAGGAGCCCTAGCACTAGTCAAGAACCCTCACCTGCACGAGAGATCAAAGCATATCGACATCTGTTTCCATTTCATTCGTGACCTGGCCGAAAAAAGGAAGCTCGTAATTGACTATGTACCCACAAGCGAGATGATAGCAGATGGACTGACAAAACCTCTTCAAAGAGTGGCATTCGAAAGATTCAAAAACCAGCTTGGACTAGTGGGAGGATATGAGTAATGGAAATTGCCTTGAGGGGGAGTGTTGAGAAATAAGTCTAATGCATTGCAATTCCAGGATCCTCATGACCCTTATTATGGGTCTGAGTTGTCATCATTAGCCAGGAGTTAGGAGAACCGGAGAGCAAGATACCCTGTACAATTAGCTTGTTTATCACGTGGTTATTGGGTTGTTTTGTTAGCATGCACGGACCCTCACTCAAGATGTAAATCTCGAGTGTTGGATCCGTTTTGATGGATAATTATTTTATACCTCTAACGAGTTGATTTCATAGACAAGTCTACCTTCCATGTTTTATATTAGAACTCCTTAAAGTGATCATTACACAATACAAGGACTAAGTTTTTAATAGTTTTCTTACAAGCCACTTTTCAACCAAATAACTCGTGGAGCGATAGGATTTTCTATAAATAGCTATTTCGAATCATTTATTGAGAGCTAGTTGAAGCTAAAGAATGAATTACGTTAATCATCGAGTTGATGTAGAGTTGATGATTACGAACGCATGTCATGAAATTTTTATTAAGCACTCAAATACCTCGCAATCTATGAATTCGAGATTTTTCGATTTTTTGAGGGTTACTGGGGTTGTTTACAAGCGCTTTGTATTCATGGCAAATTGAAAAAATCACTTGTTACAGAGCTATTACAATACTGATACCAGGGCTAAATCCGAAGATGTCGTCATCTCTTCGGAGCTCTCTGGGCTGCCAGCCGGCTTGGCGGTGGATGCCTTTGTAAATCGCATAGATTCTTTTCCAACTTGCTTTCAACTCCCAACCCTTCTTGTGTCTCGGGTAAAATGAAGAAAGTGTCAAAATTCGGGAGGTTGGCCTATTTTGCCTCGTTTGAGTCATGTGGGTTGACGGGAGACACGCTAACAGATGTGGAAGTAGTTGTCATATTATCTGATAGGATGTTCATCTTTAGTTTTGAAGATTCTCACGAGAGGAGTGGTGGTATGTAGGGGGCAACCCTGACTAGTGACAAATCTTCCTCCAATAACCCATAGTAGTAGGAGAATCCCTATGACGAATCAGCGAGTTGACTATGATCGACCGCCAGGGAAAGATGAAAGTAGATAAGGAACCACAATCTTCCCATTTCCGGGGTGGGTGCTGGGTGAAAGGAAGATAATGTACATCAGGAGCAAGAATTGTAAGTTAAAATCATCTGTCGTCTGAAACTCAGGAGAGACTAATGCTATTGTTAGGTATGATATGACCCCTCTGAGTAACATCGGCAAGTGGTGATCACTGCACGTTTCGTCTAATGACTAGGCGAAACAGAAGGAGGGCAAGACTGAACACCTGTACGCGGTGTCCTCTACGAACCTGGGAGTGAAATATTCTCCCAGAGCCAAGTTCAGTCAAATTTCGCAATATCAAAGAAGTTGGCCCACGAGGCAAAAATCCAAATTACTCATCCACTTCGTTATTTCGCTCCCAACGAGTTTGACCCCTATCTTCGTCTTATCGAGTCTACAAGTACGACCAAGTACATCCTCATTCCAAAGACCACACCACTCTTCGACCTTCTCTGGCCTCAGCTGGTCACCAAATACACGCCCACGCCGATATTTATACCCGACGGAGGAAGCAAAGCGTGGCGCACAAATCTGGGAGACGGTTCTTTGGAATGGACGTGAGAGGGATTAGGACAAGTTGACAAGATGATACAGAGGAAGGATATAACTTCGAAAGGCATGAGATTCCGAATTTTGGCAAGGAGTTTTTCGAATTGGGCTTTGTGCGCGCCAAGACTTCGCTTGCGAGAGTGCAGCTGACACTATAAAAATAAGCAAACGATGGAAGGTGTTGTGGTCCGCCTCCTGGTGGTGTTCTCCGGTATAGTTTGAGTAGCCTGGGCACCTACTCCACTTGGGAAGGAGATATCTCAGACCATATTTCGCGCGGAGAAAAGTTGAAAGATGATGGAGGCATGTCTGGATAACTCAGGGTTTTTGAGATGTTTCCCTGGGTGGGTATTCACGGATGAGGGTTGACTTGGGGTGAAGAAAAAGCCGCCATAACTTCGCAGTGGTACTTGCAAATGAAATCTGAGGCATGAGTGCTCTACTTTTAAATTGAATCATCTATTCTATACTTTTCTTTGATATTGTGTCATAGCTAGATAGCTGCATACGCAATTAAAATCTGATGCAAAAAAAAAAAAAAAGGCGAAACAGAAGACCGCTATGCCACAAAAGGCTAATATCTCCACGGCCACGGCGAGGCATGCTTGTCCCATTCTTCTAGATGCTCATGCCCCGTTTTTACCTCTTGACTAGGCCTAGTAGCATTGGCTTGTTAAACTCGACTGTTCGCGTTCCGCTCATCCAATCATACCCCGCGTAGCTATGTGTTAGCCTATAATATCTAAGTGTGATCTACTAAATTATGTTAAAGCAGGAGCCCGGTCACATGGTAAATCTTGTCCCGATGGGATGTGAATGTTTGCTCGTCAATCAAGAACCCAAATTCTAACAACTCACTGAGTGCCAGTGAATTAAACTCGTTTTTCTTGTGCACACAGCTGTCTGAATTATCTTTAATTTCCTCTCGCTTGCTTTAAGTCAGATCTATTCAGTTACTAGACTCGACTGCTCTCACTCACCATGTAAGTCTATCTTTACACGCAACTCCGCTTCAGCCTCTCTTTGCGATACTCTATCATTTGAAGTTCAACTTTTAAGACTAGAAAGTGCGTACTACATTTGAACCAAATAAACGCTACCACAATTCCTAATTCCCACGTATCGTCTTCCCCATCCAAGAGGAGTCCGAGCGGTTACCCGAAGCAAAGTGAGAGTCGCTCATGTATTGATCAATGCCTTTACAGATCTACATTTTAGGACTCAAACTACTCTCGATCGTTACATCACATCTTTGAATTCATCTTCTCCCGAATTTGGCAAATTCCGAACTTTTTTAACAGCGTCTGAAGTTGAGCCGTCCCACAGGGCTATGAATGCCTCCAACATCGGTTGATTGGATTGGGCTGATGTCAAATGACGCTGCGCCGACTTGCAAAGAATCTATTGATTTAATCTGAAATTCTCGACCAAGTTCAACTAGAAACACTTCCGGTGTGAAATATATCGGAGGAGCTCCTGTAGTGACCAATCTCGCGATAGAAACAACAATTCACTATATACCTTATCTATGTCGGTTGTGCCATAACATCAAAATCCAGAAAACCTCAAGGCTAGTACTTGCCCCTATCATTCTTCCTAGTCAGAACTTCAAGTGCTATCCAGACTTTGCTTCAGTTGGTCGTCCACCGCAAACAAGTGGTACTTGTCCGGCTAACCCTGCGTAGTAATTAATATTTTCAATAATTGTCACTTCTTTTTCGCGATGGCCATTAAGTACGACACGTCGCCATGGCCCATCAAGGATGTAAGTTCATTTTTGATTTCGAATACGAATACCTGCAAGTTATCTCTCCACTAATCGGGGTAGATAATTTACACATCCATTGTCGGTACAGTATTGGCAGCGGCCTTCCTAGAATGGTTTTTGTGGCTCGCTGCCTTTATCTACTGCCTCATCAAGGTCTATCAAAAAGCTGAACACTGGTCAGTAAAGTTGCTGGCATTTCTCATAGCAATAATATTCATTTCTCTCCGGTGTGTAAACTTGTTATCCGTTCCCGAGTATAACTTGCCAATGCTGATAGTCTCTAGATTAATATTTCTCCCGATCATGATCACTACTTTACCCTTACCGTCCCATATTACACAGTACTTTCCGGTGGACTTAGTTTCATTTTTACAATGGTTCGGATTTTGGTCATTCGCAGCTCTGCTCACTATCCCATGGCTATTCTGTGTTTACCAGCTTGTTACCCACCACTTAGGTCGGACTAAGCGAATTAAGGAAGTTCTTGATGAGCATTCTGCTCCCAAGGTCGTCATAGTAATGCCTTGTTACAAAGAAGAACCGGACGTCTTGGTAACGGCCATAAATTCGGTTGTTGATTGCGACTACCCCCCGTCATGTATCCACGTTTTTCTGTCATTCGATGGTGACCAAGAAGACGAACTTTATTTAAATACTATCGAAAAGCTCGGCGTCCCGCTATCGCTCGATTCTTACCCCAAAAGTATAGATGTAACATATCGATCAGCGCGAATAACGGTATCTCGATTTCCTCACGGAGGTAAACGTCAATGTCAGAAAGCTACTTTCAAGTTGATAGACCGCGTCTACACAGAGTATCTGAAGCGTAATGATAACTTATTTATTCTCTTTATCGATTCGGATTGCATCTTAGATCGTGTCTGTCTTCAGAATTTTGTCTACGATATGGAGCTCAGCCCCGGTAATAGCAGAGATATGCTTGCCATGACTGGTGTCATCACCTCGACCACAAAAAAACACAGTCTCATAACACTCCTTCAGGATATGGAGTATGTTCACGGCCAACTTTTTGAGCGTACCGTGGAGTCGGGCTGCGGGGCGGTCACTTGTCTACCAGGAGCATTGACGATGCTTCGGTTTTCTGCATTCCGAAGAATGGCAAAGTACTACTTTGCTGATAAAGCTGAACAATGCGAAGATCTTTTTGACTATGGTAAATGTCATCTCGGCGAAGATAGATGGCTTACGCATCTTTTCATGATCGGTGCCAAGAAAAGGTATCAAATACAAATGTGCACTTCTGCCTTTTGCAAAACAGAAGCCGTACAAACGTACAGAACGCTGGTTAAGCAGAGACGAAGATGGTTTCTAGGATTCATAACGAACGAGGTTTGCATGTTAACAGATGTTCGGATCTGGAAACGGTATCCCATTCTAGCTCTAGTGCGATTCATGCAAAATACTATTCGAACAACAGCGCTACTTTTTTTCATCATGCTTGTTGCGATCATCAGTACTTCAATGCGAGTAGATGATTTACCTGTAGGATTTATCGGAATCTCACTAGGTCTCAATTGGCTGATGATGATTTATTTTGGCTTTAAACTCAAGAGGTATAAGGTATGGCTCTACCCACTGATGTTTCTTATAAATCCCTTCTTCAACTACTGGTACATGGTATATGGTATCTTTACAAGTGGTCAACGAACATGGGGAGGTCCTAGAGCAGATGCCGGCCAGGCTGACGCCCATACTACACCCCAACAAGCCATCGCAAAAGCTGAAGCGACTGGAGACGACTTGAACGTGGTACCGGAAACCTTTAAACAGGCCACTGAAGGCCAAAAACAAGCCGCTCGCACTGGAATACATTTACAACCTCCAGAAAGGATTGAAGGTAGATTCGCTGCGCCAGAGCTTTTGCCCGGTGGATGGTATGAACAGAGAAATGATTCAGTGGTAAGCTCATCGCCTGCGGGTATGTTGGGTGTTACCCGACCACCCAACAAACATAGAGATTCTTTCGAAAGTAGCTTCTCCGCCGGAACCACTACCTCTGTTTATCTACCTCGTCGTGTAGAAAGTATAATGGGAGAAGAAGATAGAAAAAAGTATGCAATTGCCCAGGCAAGCCAAATCAGAACAAATCCAAACCCAATCGGGTCATATTTCCCTCATGGACAAGTATATGAAGTATCAGAAGCCGAGATCGGTAAGGGAGCATTCAGAGACTCGGTTGAATCTCTTCAATCTGATCCTCATGGCTACTACCGATCACAATCAGCCAATAGTACTAGGTCTATGGATCAGTTTACTGAGATAAATGAAGACGTCACGCCATCTGTTAACCCTCCAAGTTTATCTATACCACTGCCAACAGCATCCAGCAAAAACAGAAGAGTTGGGGGTAGAAGTCCTCTCGCCCGTCAAAGCTTAGTCCGGACTGTGAACGACGAAGCAGATATTGAGCTTGAGAGCCACACCGAAAACTGGAGTGCAAAATCTCCAAGCACGACAGGAAATTCGGGGAAAACGTCTCATTCAGCAAGGTAGGAAATTCTTTATGCACATTATTGTTGCTTTGTTAAAGGGGTGATTGGGCGGTATATTGTTATGATAAATGTTACTTCTATCATTGAGATATTTCCATTTGATGCGGGGAATAAGTTAGTAGATTTGAGTTTTTTAAATGTGTTTTGCTTGGAGTTATACCGAAGTGGGATAGGTTATGTTAAACACAGGGATACGATGTCGCCATAGAAACAATTTTTGCAGCACGCTTGATGTCTAGCTCTGCGTTGCAGACAAAGACACACTGGCTGCCCTCTTGCAAAAAATTTACTTTAATTTACAACTCCTCTATGCACTATCTGATAAAACTCAACTTTCCGGCGAGAATTTTTGCTACAAATCTCCACGGACTATTACGCGGAATGTTTCATGTGAGCTCTAACTCACAGGTCTGTGCAGCAGCATTCTGTTACTTTAGAGAAAATGCCGCGTGCTTTGAAGATTTTTTAGGCACAATGCATTACACGGGATCTACCGTCAAGCAGTGACAACTAAGTGACGCGCAAGAAACCGCTCGGCACGCAAGCACAGATTGAAGTGAGGGATCAACGTCGTGATACACTTTCATTATTTATGAGCCTAGTAGAAACGCTCAGCACTGTTCTCCACCCGATGGCTCCCTGTGTTTGAATTTGACGTGGATTTACACATCGAGGTATGCAAAGGTGTTTTAAATGGTTGATCTTCATCAAATCATTCTCTGGTTTGGTAATCAGCCGGTCAATATCTCAAGATAATCGAAGGACAAAGACATTAATGATAATGTCGGCTTCCATGCAGCATACTTAGTATACCGGTCGGAATTTAATGAACATGACAAAAGAGGGAGATTGCGGACCGTGCTCATCCGATAATTAACTATCTGCAGGAACAAAATTCACACTCGTGCCGACTGAGATGACCTTTTTGTTGGGACCGTGCCAAGATACGGTCATTACAATCGTTGGGCGCGGGGGCGGCACTGAAAGATTACCCAAGCCGGCGAGCAGCCTAGAAGATTTAGCCATGCACTATCTCAGACGATAATGAATCTGCAGGGTGTGTGGATTCTTGCCCTAGTAGTGTTTGAGGAAGTGGAGCCTACCCGATATTTGCCAATTGTCGGGATAGGACCTGCACGATGGTCGCCCATGAGACACGTCTGTCAATCCACTGCACCACGAACTCTCTGGTAATCTCCTGACAAGGGAAGTTAAGTCAATCAATTTCCTTGCATGCGAGTCCGAGGGATTTTGCTTGTCACATGCTCAATCTACAGGGCTTCCCAGCCATGTCATTCAGGGAAGCACCGAAAAAGCCACTGTTTTCATCTAGTCTTGGCAATCCTCGTACCTGAAAACCGTTGAGCTCCGAGTCTCCGCGGCTTGTTGGGCCCTGAAATGGTGAGAACCTTGTACCTCAGGCTACACTTTGATAGCCTGTTTGTTAGATTTATATTCTCTCCTACCTTTCCCTCACCCTCTTCTCACCAGATCTATCCAACTTTACTCAGCACACAGTGCGATCTCTCACAACATGGCGCCAACGACTGCGACTCTATCAGCATCTGTTCCACCTCCAACGCGGAACACTAAAAAGTACGATCCTAAGAGACCCCATATCACAGAAGAACCCATTACTCGAGACAATTGGTACAAACATGTCAATTGGCTGAACGTCACTTTAATCGTCGGACTTCCTCTATATGGGCTATTCGCCGCAGCCTGGACACCATTAAGGTTAAAGACAGCCGTCTGGGCCATAGCATATTATTTTATGACAGGTCTTGGAATTACTGCAGGTCAGATAATTAACCCACGTCAATAATAACAATTTTTTAAATCTGTATAGGATACCATCGTCTTTGGGCTCACACATCTTATTCCGCCAGCCTCCCTCTAAAGATTTTTCTCGCTGCTGTCGGTGGTGGTGCGGTGCAAGGTTCGATCAGATGGTGGGCTAGAGACCATCGCGCTCACCATCGCTACACCGATACAGATAAAGACCCCTACTCTGTACGAAAAGGGCTTTTATACTCTCACATTGGATGGATGATCATGAAGCAAAACCCTAAGCGAATTGGAAGGACTGACATATCAGATTTGAACGATGACCCTGTTGTTATACTGCAACACCGCCACTACATCAAGACAGTTATATTTATGGGTATGGTGTTCCCATGCCTCGTCACAGGGTTGGGATGGGGTGACTGGATGGGAGGATTTATATATGCCGGAATACTCCGTATATTCTTCGTTCAACAAGCAACGTTCTGTGTCAACTCCTTAGCGCACTGGCTCGGAGACCAACCCTTTGATGATAGAAATTCCCCCAGAGATCACATTATAACTGCATTTGTCACGCTCGGTGAAGGGTACCACAATTTCCATCATGAATTTCCTTCTGACTACCGCAACGCCATCGAATGGCATCAATACGATCCAACTAAGTGGGCTATATGGATGTGGAAACAGCTCGGCCTAGCTCACGACTTGAAACAATTCAAGCAAAATGAGATAGAGAAAGGTAGATTACAGCAGTTACAAAAGAAACTCGATCAAAAGAGACAGGTGCTTGATTGGGGAACTCCTCTCGAACAACTGCCCATAATTAGTTTTGAAGATTATCAGGCAGAGGCCAAAAAGGGTCGAGCACTAGTCGCAGTAGCAGGTGTCATTCACGATGTGTCTGACTTTATCAAAGATCACCCTGGTGGAAAAGCCCTCATTTCCTCCGGTATAGGGAAGGACGCCACAGCTATCTTCAATGGAGGTGTATACAACCACTCCAATGCAGCACATAATCTCCTATCTACCATGCGCATCGGTGTTATCCGCGGTGGTTGCGAAGTTGAGATCTGGAAGCGCGCACAACGTGAAAATAAAGATATATCATTTGTAAGCGATACTGCCGGTCAAAAGATTATTCGAGCAGGTCTCCAAGTAACCCGTATATCGGAACCCGTCGCTTCCGCCGACGCAGCTTAGGTATCTAAGAATGAATAATGAGAGATCTTCAAGTATAAGATTAAGAATTGTTACGAGAAAAGCAACAGATTAGAAATAGCAGGTATCAATATTTTAAGAGTATACTTACCGTGACCGCCAGCTCTCTTACTGTCAGGTCCAATGAGGCGTTGTCAATTCTCATGGGAATTAACTAAAATTTGAATTGTAACAACGTTCATGAGCGAGTCATTTGGTCAAGGGAAATTGTTCACCCCAGCACATTCAGAGGACATCATTTACGAAACTTGAACTGGGCGTTAGGAAGGGACAGGGTGAAAATATTAGATTAAACTTATGTATTCGTAGACCTACAATATTAGGGTTGAAATTAAAACCCGTTCACACGATCTATTGTGGAAGTATGGACATGCATCATGCTCAACTACGTTTCATTATTCCCTCAAAAAGCAGCCAGCCTCAATAACATTGGAAAGGATAATGAAATTAGGCAGCTAATGAATGTATTGCTACCTGGCAAGACTCATTAGAATTTCAAAATGTTGATAGCTAGTTTTAGTGGATGATGCAACTGCTGGGTAAGCAATTAGCTCATTCAACTTCTTGGTTCCGCTATGTGTTAAACAAAATGCAAGATGATTATTGATTGTATACATCATTGTGCTATGCCGAAAGAATACAAGATGACTTGAAACTGACGAGCGCTTGAGATGTAACATGGATATCCCTGGTCAAATTTATTTGTTTGTTAGAGCGGGCAGCTGCACACTAGTGGGTAATGAAAGGTGTGAAAACAGAATTGTTGAACCCACACCCGGGAGAGATCGGATGGTGGTAAGCTAGCCGCACTGAGCGTGCCCATCGATAACGGGAGGGGTGCAGTGTAACACCGCGCAGATTATAAGGGGGGCCCCGTTGCAAAACTTTGAAGTACCGTGATTCTGATTCACTAAAAATTGATGGAAAAGAAATTGGCTTTACAGAAGTATGTAGTCTGCTGGGTTGCCTCAATGCGCGAGGTTGGCGTATCTAACTGAGAATGGATCTTGTGTCGCAGCGGGTCTTAGGATTAACGTTGGAGGCCAAAGACCTGGCGATTGAAACATGACTAAAAGTACCGAATGCGGGAGGCAGGTCTGTCTCACTAGTCCAGGGGAGGCGGGCATCCATTTGGCATGGGTTCATTCCAGGAATGCTAGTCATCCTGGTATTTGACAACGATCTGCGAGTCTACTTCCCAAGAAGAATGAGCTAGCTCCCACTAATTAGCCACAGACCTAGAGAGAGGCCCGGATCTCGCCCTCAGTGAACCATGACCAATTATCCTAACGACTTCATTATGAAGTCGAGTGGCGCGAGAGGCCGAGCCCACACCACGGGGTTTTTAGCTAGGTTCTGAATTCTAGCAACCCATGCAGAGAGGCCCTCCAGGCGAGCGATGCGCTGCTTTGACTGTCTCCGCTCCTCGACGTTGAGGCCGCTTGGGCTAAGGTGCGAGGAACCTTGGGTTTCACAGTTTACATTTCACACGGTTGGTATACTGTTTAATATAGAGCGTGAGGCAAGGGAGAAGATATGATCTAGGACCAACAACACCCTTGAAAATTTGAAAGCATTCGGCATCCATTCGCCCTATTTAGTGCGGCCTCTGCAGAGTGAAAAATACATTAAAAGAATTAACTTTATATATGTCTAATAATGGGAGATTTCATAGTCGCATTGGCGCAATGGTTGCGCGCAAGACTTCTAGCACGTTATCTTGAGGCTGTGGGTTCGAGCCCCACATGCGATGTAAATGAAGGTTGTCGTCGGAGTGCAAGGATGGCTGAGTAGCCATTCTTGGGATGAAGCAGTGCGTTTTGATTTTTGTGAATTGTAATTTATACCTAATTGCAGTTCCCTCAAATATTCACGTGATGATACTTCGAAAGGAAGCCAATTTCTTTTGTCATATCCCTTCTAAAGTCATCAGAGCGATGGAAATGTGTGTGAGTATGGTAGCCAGGGAAAATTGCTAAGTACTCTGAGTGATGAGCTCCTCTGCTACCGATACCAGGATTAAATTAGAAGACTTGATGACCTGTGATACGATCGGAGAGGCCGGACTGCTGGATACTGAGGACCAATTTTACCGAGGACTGTCGCTCTTTGTCTTTTATCTCTCTTTATAATTCTTTCCCTAATGCCGTGCTGAGAGATCAGAAAGTCTTGACAGTGTATATGATAAATAGAAGCCAAGGCCAATGTCTAGTCCAATTTAGGGTATTGGAGGTAACCAAAGACTGATAGATAACAACATGCTCATGGCTCATAATCCGAAATCGTAGCCTTTATTTATCACAACACAGTCACTTCCGACGTTGGTCTACATTGCACGCATGGGGTCCGTCTTCAGACGCGTGCAGTTAGCGTGTATGTGTTTATTGTACTGCTCGAGTCATAGACTATCTAGCACATCGGGCTCCTCTCTAACCCAGGCCACACCTTCTACAGTGCTCCTATCCTCTTTTTTTACCTGATAGGTCATTGGTATATTGCCCGTTATGGATAGCCATTGAGCCCAGTATTCATCCGTGGAATTCAGCCACCTTTTCCACGAAACCCTCCACTCATGAAAATGGTAGAAATGGAAACTGCGGGCGCGCGCACGCGGGAAGACGTCTCAACAAAGCTGTAGCCCCAGGTACATCTCCCTTCTCTCTCGCAGTCGAGGCCAACTTGATCTAATCAACCACCGCTGTATGGGGTGCTAGGTATGCACTGGAAATTCATCAGTCGGCTTTTCCCTCGTAATGATGGTGATAGGGCAATGTGCTTAGAGATGAAGGCGACACAGACGGCGAGAGCGGCCGAGAAACCTCATCGAAGTGAAGACGTTGTTCCTGAATTTCGGCTCTGTAGAGTCTACAGTGAGAATTGTAGTTTCGTAGAGGACACCACGGACAGGTGTGGAGAATAGTGCCCCTACAGCCATACTTTGAACCACTTTGGTCTCTCATTTAGCTCTACATCCCCTCTAGGTTACCTTCAAGTGTAGCATCACTTTATATTCGGCGCAGAATTTGCGGTATCCCTCCTGATCCTTGTGATTAAAAAATAGAAAAGGCCTCTACGCCACCATTAAAGCTGAAATTCTCCGGCCATCCTTGGCTCTGTACCCTCTGCGCCATTCGAGATACAGCCTCTGAGCTGTATAGTACGGTCCCGTGTCGCCTTTCCTTGGGTTTCTGAGATACCATTTCTATTACTGCGGGATACACCCGTGAGGTTGGTACTGGCTGCGGCGATGCTGAGTCAGGCGGCACGTGCCGCACGAGGCTGGTAATCAGAGTGGCTTTGATGAGACGGGTTGTATGAGGCTTGAATTTGAATTTGAATTCATTATCCTGATTTGGCGCCCTATGGGCCCATGCAGGGAGTGCAGCTGACACTATAAACACAAGCGAACGATGGAAGGTGTTATGGTCCGCCTCCTGGTGGTGTTCTCTGGTATGGTTTGAGTAGCCTGGGTACCTACTCCACTCGGGAAGGAGACGCCTCAGACCATATTTCGCGCGGAGAGAGGTTGAAAGATGATGGAGGCATGTCTGGATAACTCAGGGTTTTTGAGACGTTTGCCTGGGTGGGTGTTCACGGATGAGGGTTGACTTGGGGTGAAGAAAAAGCCGCCATAACTTCGCAGTGGTACTTGCAAACGAAATCCGAGGCATGAGTGCTCTTCCTTTACGTTGAATCATCTATTCTGTACTCTTCTTTGATATTGTGTCATAGCTAGATAGCTGCATACGCAATCCAAATCTGATGCAAAAAAAAAAAAGGGCCCATGCAGGTGTCTACAGTCTATAATATTTACCCGGGAGGAAACCTTTGTTGTGAAAACCTCCCACACCTTTCTATTTGTTGTCTATAGTTCTCACAAGTTTTCTTCTGGAAGCGCAGTTACACTATAGTGCCATCCATGTAAACTAACCAGATCGTCTCTATCCTCCCCAAGCATTATTTGACCTTTTCCTTTCCCTTAGCAGTATTTCGACTGCTTTTGTCATCTGGAATTGCTCTATCCAACCATGGTTTAGGATCCACTGTGTTATCCTTTTTATATCTCCAAGATTGTTTATCATCGCTTCGTAGGATCGATCTTCGGCTTATCTCCAGATCTCAGCTCTGCCATTTGACCATCGGGGGCAGGACATAATCATGTGCTTGGGGTTCTGTGATTGGTAGCCGCATGGACAACCTGGACTTAATACTCCGGGTACTTTTCTTCTGTGTAAATACGAATTAAGCCCCATATGTTCACTTCGTATTTGCATTGCCAAACTGATTTAGGCCCTTGTCAGGTTACGAGTTGTATGAGGTTGTTTATTCTTCTTTTCCACTCCATTTAACGTGTGTTGAGCCATCTAGCCATGACGCATAATTAGTGCTTTGTATACATGTTGTATAACTCATTGGAAGTCATCCGCACTCGTACTCTGGATTTCGGTCGCAAATACCACTATGAGGTATGTTTGCTTACTCAAACAGTCGACACTCCTCCGTAAGCACCCACAAAAGGGAAATTCGAAACCTTTGCGTACACATGCATACTTTTTTCATTAGTGGAAACCTGCGCCGCGAGAAATATGGTTCTGTCACGCCAGTTCCGAACCATTGCGAGGCTCGTAATCAATACCGTGTCCTCCGAGGCCGTGATGTTGAACGATATGTGGTTAAGTTTGGACCAGAGTAACGATTCGCCTTTTTTTCGTAGACTAGAGTAATCAACTGATTTTACACCCGCTCTAGCTCTGCGGTCCACGATCGTCAAGTGATCCGGCGATAATCATGGGATTAACATTTTGGCTTGGATATCCACACTCTCGTGGAGAAATGTCGGTTGCTGGGACTCTTCTTCGCCACTAAGTCGACTCGAGTCAGTGTGCTCGTCCTCCACTCCAGGGGCAATAGTACTTACGACCCTGTGCTTTCACCGACAAGAAAGGATTCTTAGCCTAATTAATCATTCTAGCACTCAAACT